GAAGCATTGCCTCTTGGTCTTAAGTTCTGCATACCTCCTCAAAATGTCAATCAACGAGACTTATAAGCAGTTTGAGGATCTCTGGAGCCAGACGTACGATTTAAAGCCCATTTCCACAGATAGTGTCTAACATTTGAAATCTGCACTAGTGAATTGCAGTTATTACTATCTGAATAAAAGCAAAAAAGTCAGGGACTGCTGACGAAAGTACTCATAAAGAAGTAAAAGCAGCTGAGAGAGAACAGATATATGTTGGTAACTACACCGGATAAAGGAACAGGCGTAGGTATAGTGAAGGGATCGGATTATGCGAGAAAATACAGTCCATATTGTCAGACCAGGAGAAATTCAAGAAAACCGACAAAGGAAAAGATTGCACGGACGAAGCAGAAGCACAGCTGACTGACTGAATACGCAGACTCCATGCAGGAGGTTTCATAAACGATTACTGCCTCGAAAACCTCCGCCCAGTAGGCATACGCATCCCCTGATTGTACGGCCTACCAGTCCGTGCGATCTTGGGCATGTGTAACTCTCCATTTCCTGCAATAACGAAGTGGTTGGTGGAGAAACCCAAACCTCTACAGTATCACCTAGCACCACATAGCTATCGGGATACCTTCTAGTTCATTGAAGATGTTAAAGCCCTAAACCTAAGCGGCATGGTGGTATTTTCATCTGATCTCTCATTGCTCTGCACAAACGTTTCGTTCACAGAGACAGTCGAGTACATTTGTGAATTGCCGTCAACCAAACCACTAGAACATAGGTGTTCCGACGAACGCACTCAAGGAACCATTATTAGAGTGCACACAGAATATGCAGTTCGTTTTTACGACTAAATATATGCACAAATTGACGGACTTGCTATGGGATCGCCACTTGGTCCTCTCCTAACCGATGTCTTCATGGGCAAGCGTGATAAGTTTCAGCTAAACGACCAAATCAATAAGCTAGGACGCTATGGTCACAACAATGGCGACATTTTCACAATTTCAACAAGAGTAACCAACATAACCCCCTCCTGGATGCTGTAAATCAAGCATTCTCGTCGATCCGGTTTGCGTTGGAGGTGGAAACGGCAGGCTCTCTGCCTTTCCTAGACGTCCTTCTAGGCAGAAGAGCTGACGGCAACATTCGAAGACGTGTCTAAAGAAAAGACATTTGGTCGATGCAATGTAAGAACTTTTGTCGTCTCGTACCCATCAACAGAAGAATAATCTAGTCCGGTGATTGATGCAAAGGACTAGGAAAATCTTTCCGGCAGATAGCATTGTTGAGGAACTTATGAAATTCCAAGACCTGCTTCGCAAGAACGGGTGTCCTGACAGATTAGTTTTAAGGAAACTTCCCGAACAAACAAGAAACTGATCACAGCGACGGCGAATAGAATACTCTGTTCCTCACGGTCCCCTTTCAGGGGCACGCGGCGAGTGAGCTTCTGAGAAGACGCCTTCACCAAGCCGTTTCGCGGACCTTCCCGACAGCAAGATTCCAAGTGTTGTTCTCGACCAGCCGAGACTTACGCGTGGAAGGTATGATTAGGCCACCAGCTCGGACCACCTCCATGTGCGTTTACTCCTTTACTTGCTCCTGTGAGGCAAGCTATATTGGTCATACGAGTCGGAGCCTATCCACAAGATTACGTGAACACCTCCCGGCATGTCTGAGGAAAGGTGAAATTAGGAGGATACGACAGTTGGACTGTCGATTCCGACGATGTCCACCGTGTGCTACACAGCAGGGTGCAGCAGGTGCGGTAACATGCGCAGCATCTACCGCACCCTCTCTTCCCCACTCCCACCTGGACTCGGTGTCAAGACAGAGTCAAGAAGACCGGAGGCGGGGGAGGACGCCGTTGACTGACACAGCCGGATCCGCACCTAGACGTGCTACCAGATCCCTTAGTCAACAACATACACTTGACCAGGATTTTTAACCTTCAACACCCAAACAGAGATCAGAAGGACGAGGATGATCGGGTAGTTATGCTCGCCACCTGTATACCCATCGGGAGCGCAAGCGCATCCACCGACAGGGAACCAGGTTTCAGGGAACTGCCAGCGCATGCCAGGCTGTAAGGGCAATGGTTTGCTGGCATAGCGCACGCTTTCAAACCTTCGGACCTATATGGGCGACACCTGGTCCTGCATTCAGCCTGGGCCGTCACCTTTCAGGGCTGGGTAACCAAACAGTCGTCGACTGAGAGGCACTACCCATAAAGCACACACACACTCCTCACATGCATTAGAGTGTCACAGAGGTCACTTTAAGAAGGGGCCGTGACAGCCTGGCTCTCAGCCCACCAGTCCGCCACTACACACAACACACACCATTGGGCAGAGTGCATGAACTGAGTCGGGGCGTCAGTCGGCTGCCTTCCGAGCCACGGCGCTCCACTCATCGTCTTCGTCTCAGACTCCGATCCCACATGCAGCAGGGGAGCCGCGTGGAGACGGAACCGAGAAGCACACTTTTCACTTGCGTGGGAGGTAGCAGTTGGGTGATTGCGGTGAGTGATGTTGATGTGCGGTGAGATGCTGGTGGGGGGATATGATGGTGTGGAGCAGCCCGCGGTTGTCTACTGCAGGTTTTCGTAGACATGCATGTGGCCTAATACACCCATGCGACTAATAAATATGCAAGTGCAATGAAGACAGTGGTGGCGGATGCGGCGAGTGTGGGTCGATGCACCAGGCACTGGTTTACCAGTATCTATGCGATGGATTCGCATCTGATTGGCCAGGCGGATGTGTGAGGTGAAGGTGCGATCGTAATGAGGACGGGTGTAGACCCGGTCCTCGTCAGTGTTTTGACGGTGACGGAGTTGGTGTGTGAGGATTGTGTGTGGTGTTGGTGCTCATGGCATACGCCACAGCGGCAGACGTTAACACGGTGGGGGAGGAGGAGGAGGATGGTAGTGGTGGTTCAGGATTACGATCAACGTTAGGTAGGGTGGACGAAAAGACGACGGCTGGTGCAGTCCGAGTGTTGCAGATGGTCCGAAGGTGTCCAACAAGTCCACTTGGCGCCCGGAATGTCTGTTGGCATCGTGTACACGTTGGAGGTGGTTGGGAGTTGACATTGTAATGCGGCGGTGGCAGCTGAGATTTACGCGTCTCGCGTTCGGCTTTTGCGGCGGCGATGCGGTTGTTTTCGAAGATTGCTGCACCTGTCTTCACTGTTCTCCTTCACATAGGTCGGTCCCGGGCGAGGTCTTCCCAGTTTGCCGGGTTTAACTGCAGACACTTCAGGGAGGTTTTCAGAGTATACTTGTAGCGCCGGACTTGATGTCCTTGTCGGCGTGAACCAGTCGCGACATCTCCATAGAAGAGTCGTTTGGGTAGCCCCTTTTCGTCCATCCGTACGAGGTGGCCGATTCAGCGTAGTTGCAATTGTCTGAGCATTGTGCAGATATTGGAAATTCCCGTCCGCTCCAGTAGGTTCGTGTCTGACATCCGGCCCTGCCGACTCAACTTCAGTATTCGACGAAGACAAATGAGGTAGAGGTGGTTGATTCTGTGTGCTCGCTTCATGTAAGTCGCCCAGGTCTCTGCTCCATACAGCAATGTCGGTAGGATAACGGCTTTGTATATCTCCAGTTTCGCGCCGAGTTGAAAACCACGACGACTTCAAACCGTGTTTTGAAGACGACTGAAAGCTTGACTGGCCTTGAAAATCCGGCGGGCCACTTCATCGTCGATTTTTGAGGGTGCTGCCCAGACACGTGAAGTTGTCCACCACATGCAGTTAGGTTCCGTTCACGCTTATTTGCGGCGCATTGCGGACAGTGTTAGGTGGCGGTTGATGAGTGACCATCGTCTTCCCCGTGTTGATGATCAGGCCGAAGTTCTCGCAGGCGGTGTAGAAAAGATCCATGCTCCTTTGCATGTCTCCTTTAGTGGTCGCATTGAGGGTGCAGTCATCGGCGAACAGTTCATGGATGGTTGTTGTGGAGACATGCGACGGGAAGTGCATTCTTCAGTGGTTTAGCAGTTGAGCGTCCGTTCTGTAGGCTGCGCGGATCGCGGGGCATTCGTTATGGTGGGCGTCCGTCAGCATGGTAGATAACATGAGACTGAAGAGGGTAGGCGCGGGAGCTCAGGCCTATTTCACTCCGTTGATCACTGCGAATGCTTCTGAGACAGCTCCATTGTCCGTAACTCGCGCAATCATGCCGTCGTGGAGATGACGCATTATCTGAGTGAATTGTGCGGGACAGCCGAATTTCTGCATGATCTTCCACAGTCCTTCAAGATTCACCGTATCGAGGGCTTTCGTCGGATCCACGAAGGCAGAGTACAGGTAAGTCCGCATCCTCTTACATTTCTTCCGAAGTTGACGGGCGACGAAGATCACCTCCGTGGTCCCACGATGACGACGGAAGCCGCACTGACTTTCCGGCAGAAGACTATATTCCAGATGTTCGCTCAGGCGATTTAGGAGAATGCGGGAAATATCTTCCCAGTAATGTTCAGAAGGGACACGCCTCGGTGATTTTGGCACAGCTGGCGGTTTCTATTCCGCTTGTATAAATGCTTGATTGTAGCGTCCTTGGAATACTGAGGGACTTCCCCTTGACGGCACACCTCCTGGAAATGCGCAGCCAGGTGATCCATGAGTTGGGGGCAGCCGTGCTTTTAGACCTCAGTGGGGATCGCGTCAGATCCGGGTGCTTTCCTGCTGGAGAGCTGCTGCACGGTCCTGATGGTTTCATGGTGAGAGGGCGGGAGGTCGAGGTCGACTATGGTCTCCACTTACGGCGGACGAGCGATGGCGGCGTCGAAGATGATGGAGGAGCGGTTGAGGACGCCTCGGGAGTACTCGACCCATTGCTGTAGGATTCGTGTCTTCTCGCTGAATTAGGAACTGCCGTCGGCGCCGAGAAAAGGAGCAGTTACTTTGGTTGGCAGACCGCAGACAGCCTTGAAAGCGGAGAAGAAGTTTTTCCATTCGTTGCGGTCTGCTTAACCTTGGACATCCTCGGCCTTGCCAGTCGTTCAAGCGTCCCTCGTCTCGCGCAGCCGCTGTTGCACAAAGTGGCGACTACGGCAGAAGGTTACTTTGTTGTCGTCGGTGGGGCGGGTGACGGAGGTTTCGTGTAGGCGGTTCTTCTCGGCAATCAGGTTGCTGATGACTGCGTCGTCATCGACAAAGCAGTCCTGATATTAGCCACGTGCGCGAGCGAGGACGGCCAGGGCCGTCGACTGGACTGCGTCCCGGAGTTGGCACCATCGGTTCTCAACGAAGGCGTTCTCTTCAGCGTCGGCGGCGACGGCGGCAGCGACTGGAAGGCTGGCTAGCCGTTGAGCTAGCTCATCGCTGAAGTGGAGGTGGTGAACAGGCAAGGACAATAGAGAAGTATTCAGCTTACCTTGGGGATGAGGCGGTGTTCTGCACAGGTGCGGAGAAGGAGCAGGCCGTTGTCGTTGGAGCCGTGGAGACAATGGGGGCCTAGCACACCACTCCCGGCAGCATGGTCTGTGCCGACGCGGGCGTTGAAGTCACCAAGGACAATCAACTTGTCCGCCTTCGACACAGTCGCCAGGAGGTCGTGTAATTCCTCGTAGAATTTGCCTCTTGTGGCGTCGGGGCTGGTCATCGGAGAGCGTAGGTGCTGACGATGGTGGCGAATTTGCTTTCCTGGAGAGGCAGGCGGAGGATCGTCAGGCGATCGCTAGCGCCCTGCGACAGAGAGGGCAGTCGTCCCACGATATCGTTCTGGATGGCAAAGGTGACACCCGCGTACCGTCTCTCTGCCCGGGGGCGACCACTCCAGAAGGAGGTGTAGCCGGCACCCACCGCCTCCAGTTGGCCTTGTTCGCAGAACGGGGTCTCGCTGAGTACGGCGATGTCCACCTTGTAGCGCGCCAGTTTCCGAGCCACTAGCGCCGTCCCCCGTTCCGGTCGAGTGTTCCTCGGGTTGTCTAAAAGGATCGAACATTCCAGGCTGCCAGTGAGCGGACTCACCCTTCCATCCTGTGGGGTGGGCGTCGCGGCTGGAGAAGAGCGAGTATGCCGACTCTTGTTTTGTTGTTTCGACCGTGATTTTTGCGTCTGAGGCCGCTGTCAACTTGCAGGTGGCGTAGGTCCTCAGCAATTGTTTAGGACACCTTTTATAGCGCCTTCACCCTCGCGGGGTTGAGCAGTGCTCTCGCTAAATAGGGCTGCTCAGTTGCCCCAGGCGGCTGCCGAACTCTACTATGGACTACGACATTTGTTTAGTGGGAGAGCGACCCGAGTTTTTCTGCGTCTACCTACGATATCGCCATAAGCTTGAAGGGGGGGGCGGAGGGGTAAAGAGACGAGAGGCAGAGCTTTCCCGTCCCCATTTAAGCTAACTGGCTACTGAAATATAAACGGTGAGCAGACAAATTCAACAGAGCGGTATTTAGGTTTCAATAAGAACAAACAGATACAAGCAGACGTAAAGCAAGTAGGCATGAATAAGCAAAAACAAAGGCAACTGAGCAACTTTCGCTTGCCTGGGGGCTCACTTACCTTGTGGCTTTCTATGGTGCTCCAGATGGAGCCTCAGTCACGTAGATGCCAATGCCGGCCATCGAAGCCGAGATTACCGTGTGCGGCGATGCACATCCGGATACCCTCACCAGGCTTAGCCCGCCGGTCGAGGCGGTTACGGGAGTGTGGCTGCCAGGCACACATGGTTGATTCTGGGCATCGTGCGTGGATCCAAACGAAGCCTTCCATGTGATTCATAAGGTCCTACCCAACTACCCTGCGAAAATGGGTCGGCGTTTACCAACAACAGCAGAAGCGACTGCATCAGGCTTCGGGGCCGGTCCTGTGCGAGCAAACGAAACCCCCACCCCCCACGCTACGCGTCAACTGCGGCCAAAGATCGGTTAATTGCATACATGTCTACCCGTCTCCGTCCTTCCCTTCCCCATGTGGCACGACTCTACCAAACCCTCACTGACATTTAGTGCCTCCTCTCTCTCTCCCTTTATTTACACACCCAGCTTGGATGGAAAGACGCACCGTAATCAATTTCTCTTATCGCTCACGAGTTTTTTTGCAACTCTTTCCAATATAAATGTACGGACCTGACAAGAATTTATCGAAAGCATGCCTATGCTCGGTACAGGGTCTTCTGAAATTGATTCGCTATCTTTGCATGTACAAAAAAGCTGTCGAGAATATGATTTAACCTTAGATCTTTATCTCCGTTCAACAACTCTGCCTTAAATTCTAGAAGTATATTCGACGCTAAGGAGGAAATTCAGGGAAAGTACAGGAGCTTTCTGGAACCTCTTCCTTAACTGTTTGAAGCTTTGAGCCGTCTGGTAGGCTGCTGAATTTTGGAGACTGGGATACGCGGAATAGTCAAGCAGTGAAAGGCCAAGGGGTCTGCTTCGCTCCTTCATGTGCAATTTCCCCGCATCTGACCAATATGACTGAGGTGACTCGCATTCGTCTCAAGGCAAAATGGGTGCAGATCTGTACAGCCTCCACTCCTTTGCTGATGGCTTCAGTGAAAACACGATTTTTGATGTTTTGCACTGGCGAGTTCATGATCACGACCTGATGGCTCCGGTAGTTCTACCAATCGAAGGTCACCATGGAGCATATTCATTGAGATCTCATTGTTCCCTTCTCACACACTACAATGGAAGTGTCAGCGTAGTTGGGTAGACAACCATTTCGCCAGATGGATGCTTCACGGCATTATTGCAACGGCGACATCTCAACGGCCCAAGTTGGTCATCTGTGAAAGTCACTACCCTTGTGATGATTAGCTTTTTGTTGCCCGTAAAAAAGATGCTTTATTTAGGGATGAGGGCCCTGAGAAAGTCTTGCCATCAGAACATGATGTTAGACGAAAAAGCTGTTGATGCTCTTCAAGTGTTCCTCGCCATAATTTAACCCAGGCCAAGGGATGTTGCGGTACGTCTAGGTGCGTGTCTGGCCCTGCCAACCACCTGCGCCCCCTCCCGCCTCCGATCGCCTTGACAATGTCTTGACACCGGGATCAGGTGAGGTAGGAGGAGTAATTGTGGTAGATGTACGCAAATCTGCTCTCATTAAAAGCTTACTCACGAGCAAATCGCTGTGCCTGCCTTACCTTGCTGTGCAGCACGCGTTGGACATTGTCGGTTGCGACATTCTAACTGTCACCAGGTGGGGTAATGGTGGTCATTATATTGTTCGACGTTAGTTTTGCGGAAGAAAATCCTAAATAGGTACTTGGGAAGACTTCAAGGGGTTCTTCCTTGTTGTATAACTGCTTTTTAGAGGTGGGGATTATTTTCAAGACAGGCCATGAGGGATGAGCCCGAATGGAGGCTCTGACTGCAACCTAAGCCCTGTCGAACATGTCATAAATTTACAGCATCAGGACATCGAATCAAAAACCTTGCAAATCCATAGTTTGGTTAGCTTTAGCGCACATCTCAGACACGCCAACCTAGAAGTCCTGTGGTTTGCATGACGTGCATGCCCTGATCCATCACCTAGTTGGAGAAAAAGTTATCTGAAAACGGATTTAAACATGCTCCAGCGTGTTGGTTGCCTATTTCCAAGTGACAATATAACTGACATAACTTCAGGTATGCAGGTTTATATAGTTATTTTGGTAACGAGGCTTGAAATTCTCAAAGTGTATGCTGATCACAAATTGTGAAAAGGAACACGATTCCCCTATTTTTTCGAAAAAGACTGCGGATGCAGTTGACAGAGGAGAATTTATAACTTGCCAGTCCCTGGGGAAATAAGACGGTGTTGTCTAGCAGCGAGTAGTGTGATTGACAAAAATAACGAGCACTGAGATGTCCGTCTGTACATTTCCATCTGTCATGAATTTTTTTGATTATCGCGTTGCAATCCAAACGACTGGATATTTAGTGGAATCTGATGAGAGCTAGAGACAAGTGATAATACTGTACTCCCAACATACAGTAAGTGGGCTAACTCATGAAATGTCAGCCGGAATTCCGAAATGCGTTTTCGTTTCGAAAAGATTAATTAAGTAGGATTGTAAAACTAATCATCTTGCAGCATAACTCGATAATAATTCAATTACCTTAGGAGGTCAGCTTTCGAACAAACTCCTTTTCGGCCGCATGCAAAAACTATACTCTGTAAAAAATGACTACGTATTTAGTTTGAATTTTTAGCGTTGATTTTCGATGTCTCTAAAAATTCAATTATGTTAATGGAAAACATGCGTAAGGATATTCATTTTTTCGTTCATTCGGTAGAAATTGACGTCTTATTTCGACTTTATACTCGAAGGAGGGGTATAATTCGGCTTTAAGGAAGTTTCTATTTGTGAGATTATTTAAAACCGTGAAATGGTCGTTCATAGAACGCCGTGTCTCTGCCTTTACCAAGGTGGCTTGTAAAGTTAACAATATGGCTCAAATCCACTGCTAAATTTTATGAACCCCATATGGTCTCCTCTTAATACCGTCGAGAATTATTTGGTTCTCCGTACGCGGAACATATACGGCTTGTAGTTTAGAAACCCTGGATGCAAGTGCAACGGTAGGTCGGGTCCAAAACTAAATGGTAATTGGAAAAGTTATTGAAAACCGGATGATACCCATCCTTCGAGTATAAAGTTGAAATAAAACGTAATTTTCTACCGAAAGATCAAAAGAATGAATATTCCTATGCATGTTTTCCATGAAATATAATTGAATTTTTAGAGACATCGAAAATCAAAGCTAAAAATTCATACTAAATACGTAGTCATTTTTTATAGAGTATAGTTTTTGTATGCGGCCGGAAATAAGTTTGCGCGAATGCCGGCATCCCAAGGGTAACTGAATTATCATAGAATTATGCTGCACGATGATTAGTTTTACTTAATTACTTAATTAATATTTTCGAAACGAAAACGCATTTCGGAATTTCGGCTGACATTTCATGAGTTAGCCCACCTACTGTAGGTCCTAGCTACAATCCAAAACAGGTGTTTTGCCAATGTTTCTGCTGCTGCGTGACGCAGCTGCGAGGGGTCCGGCTTCTCAGCGTTCTCCATGCGGTTCCTGGTATGTGAACTCCAGGGTATAATCAAGGTAGTAGTTTCAGAAATAAGTGAGTGCAGAACATGGAGATTAGTGTCGGGGTCAGACCCCAGTAGTGCTACTTGTTTGTAGAATGGACATTACGTGGTTGTTCTACAGTAGTTGATTGTTTTCATCGAAATTTTATTGATATTTCAGGTCCGACTTCCGGACACTTAACTTCATGTCCTGAATTTAATAATTTCTGAAATTATTACCTCGGCAAAATACGTACTTTACAGTTCTCAGGAAATTTGACCGTACTCTAGCTTCCTTCTGTCACAGCGTTTGTCAATCCTAGGAGGGCTTTTCCCTGCCTCTGCCTTGCATTAGCGCTCCTCAAACGTCCCCTCGATTGTGTAGACAATCTTTAGTCTACTCTGTAAAACACGTTGGCACCCGCTCACGTC